AGAAGCTGGACACTGTCTAGACTCCCTGACAGTTCAGGGCACAGGGGGTGAAGAGGTGCCACAAGGAAGAAACGAGTTTGAACTGTTCTTGTTTTCCCTCACAAAGTCAGAAAAGACAGTGCAAGCCTCTGTTTCCTCCCTCTCTTTCCCTTTTGTTGTAAATTTGTTTTACACTCTTTTCCTGCTCAGCGCAAGTTCGCACGTTTAACACATTCATGCCACGGGGATCGCTACTGGTCTTTTTCTACATTTATCTGTACCCCAGAAGTCGTGTTGCCAGCTTACTGGATTACTTTTGCCATTTTTACTTGTTACTGTGGACAAGCAGACAAAAATATGTATTAGGGAGAAGGCTTAATGAGGAAAAGGGAATTGCAGCAGAAAAGATAAGGGCACCTTACTTCCCCCGCCCCCTCTCCCTTGCCTAAAGGACTTGATGTGCAGACAAAGTCAGACTGCGAAGGGCCAGCAGCTTCTTCTAAAACAACAGTGACCACTGAATGCAAATCTTAGGCTTTTACCAAGCACATCAACGTCTTATTTTGGGGGCTTTAATAATGTGTCACATGCTAAGGCCATCATCACCCTGTTTATTCAACAGAAAGGAGGGAGAGACCCACATACAGAAAAGCAGTTTGTAAGTGGAATATATGCTGTGCTTTTCTTTCCCCAACTCTTTCTGCACATCATCTGCAAAAGGGGGCTTATTAATTCCCTACTTACTCTAAGGGCTGAGCTGAGCTGTCCAAATTCACTGCAGCCCTCTCTGATTTATGAATGGGAAGCATTCCAAGAGTTCACTTGTGCACTAATTTCTTTAGAACTTAAAGCATAGCTCTATTCATTAATCCATCCCTTCAGCAAATGTTTACCTAGTGCCTGTGTGTACCAGACACCGTCCTGGGGGCTGAGGATTCGGTGGCAAGGAAACGAGTAAGGGGGACAGACATGGATCAACCATCACAAACGCAAGCAGATCGCCCCACAGTGCGGTGCTGTGGGAAGCACGGGTTGCCAGAGGAGATGGGACCAACCTTAGGGAAACAGCCGTCAGTAACTAGCTTATTTAAGGGTGGGGAGGCGGCAGAACAGAGGACGGCCTCGGGGTGCACAGGTGGAGCGCAGGGAGCAGAGAGGGAGAAGCAACCAGCTGTGCCAACTCGGACAGATGCTTCTCAGACACCTTCCAAAGTCCTTTCCTGCCCTCTCTGCATCTAATCCTCAGATCCTCGTGGGGCCTCCAGTGGCAAACACCAGCACTGCTGTTTGCAAAAAAACAGACAGCAGGAAAAGACGCCACCCAAAGTGTGTGCAGCCAGGACCATGCAGCTCTGCCTGCTCAGACCCTGACTCCATTGAGAAGCTACCCAGACAGGTGCCAGGGATGCTCATGAAGGTGGGCTCACAGTGGGCTGGGTGTGGTCAGCAGAGAAGCAGGAGAGGGTGGCCAGAAGAAAATCAGGGTGTGATGCCTCCCAGAGTTTTCACCCATAACGAGCCCGAAGAGAGCTTTCACCACATGCAGGCACCGTCCCCAGTTCACCTGGGGAGATGCAGGGCGCTGTCATGAGGTCAGGGAAAGGGTGAAAAGAGACCCAGGGCTTGGCAGTCTCCTCTCGAGTGAGATTTCAAGCTGGCAGGTGAGAGGTCCGGGGATGGTGTCTTGGCAGCTGCTCTTTTCCAGCTCAGGCACTGAGTGTGACCACAGCCTCTTGATGGCATCGCAAGAGTTCTACGGGAAACTGCGGGCAAGTCTTCAGAGCTGTGGGTCAACACTGGGGCCACCTCTTTGCACAATAACGACAATAATGACTAGAGCTTGGAGCCAGGCACCATTCCATGTATCCTGTGTGTTCTA